CACTTGTAAGTCACACTGCATTGTATTTTTCATGGTAGAGTATAAAATAAGTTTTGGTAAACGCTGTCTTAAAGGCACTTGTCTGTTACCTGAGTCTGAGGGGTTTTAAATGTATTTTGTTATACAGCACTAATCTCGTTCCCTCTGCCAGTAGCTGGCTCTCCTGCTGTGGGTTTGAAATATAAATACGCTTCTGTCTGTCTTCAAAACAAAGGTTCTTTCTGTTTTGGTAGTTAACTGTTTTTAGTTCATCGGGCTACTGTTTCGCACACCTATGCCCACAAGGTCTTTAAAGCTGCAAAAGCAGAAAAAGCTACATAAAGCAGATGGTAGAAATGTCTGCCTGGCCTCCTGCTAGATTTTGGTTAGAATCTAAGGCAGCACACCTGTTTTCTTTTTAGTTGTTAATTTATGCTGACAAATTTCCCTTTCAATATTCTTGGCAAAGCTGGCAGGAGAAAGACTTGGACCAAAACATTGAAATGCTCTTTTTTTTTTTTTTTTTTCCAGCTCAGTGTGGAAGCCCTCTCTAATTTACTCCTGCGGGTATCGACTCCTGTCGATCAGCAATAGTGTTCGGAGAAGTAAGTGGTATTTTGCTTGGTGGGCAGAAGAGACAGTGAACACCGACGCCTTCCCTTCAGGCAGCAGACCGCAACTTTGTTTAAGGCTTTAAATAATGGAGTTGCCTCCCTGTCAAAGCCAACTGGCCAAAGTGCCAAAGGTTGACTACTCTGCACTAAGACTGTGAAGCCATGCAAACTTCAGATGATCAAACAAGTCACAAGTTTGGGGCATTTTGGTTTTCATCTTAATTGGTGGACCCAAGCCCTTCTGAAAGAGACCTTATGAAGCATTTTAGTGATTAGTACGCTCTGAGTGAGTGGTAGTGTGAGGACTTTGCAGTAATTCCCTACATGTGTTTTAAATAGCATTACAGCCGTCATTGCAGGATGCTATTCTTGTCATAACTGAGACTAACTACTGTGGGCTAGAAAGCTTTTTCTTTAAATCTGAGTTTTGAAAGTACGTTTCAGCGACACTGTCTACGGAAGGGGAAAGTTTCTATTACAGAAGTTTATTATCGGTTAACCTTCTCTTGTCCTGGTTTAATGGAATTGATGGTGTATTGCTGCTAACAGAACTCAAACTGAAAGTGAATTAGTAATTTTGTACTGAGGAAAGACTAGCTATTTATTTAACTTACTTGCTATTTATTTAACTTACTTGGATTTTTCCCCATATAGCGGTAGTAGACTTTTCTCCTAGGACCTAAGAACAAAGTCTGACAACCGATGTCTTAAAAGATTGAAAAATATTTATGTATCAGATGACAACAATCACAATATATCAGCATTTTTAAAACTAAGTTATTTTCTATTCTAAAATATAGAGGCAATAAGGAACAGCATTTACATACTATAAATACATCGCTCCCTGAGCAGCTAGGAAAGTTTATGAGAACAAAATTTAATTTCTGAATGCTCTCCACAAGCTGAACTATTTCATTACACAACAGCCAAAGACGTTTGTATAAAAGAACGTTATATTATTTTTAAACAAGTTTCACAGAAGAACATTTATAAACATAGGCCTAAATAATTTAAACACAGCAAATTTAACAGTTTGGTCATGCTACAAAATTACTGTATACAAAAGATAGCCAAAGGCGATGTTAAAAGTGCTCTCTTGCTTGAAGATTTTTCTAGATGAGTCTACTTCTAGCGCAACCTGAGTCATCTGCTGGTTCTCAGGTCTCTTCTCGCATTTTTCCAGCAGCTCTCAATATAATCACTGCATACATCAATCAGCTCTTTGAAGAGAGGTCAATGTGCTAACAAGCAAGTAAAAAACCTAGCTAGTTCCTATCACTAATTTAATTTTAGGATATTTCTCTAAGGAATAAAGTGGATGCTACTCCTCCACAATTTCACTGGGGAAAGCAGAATTCCACATGGCTTGAAGGTTTTACATGGGTGTTCTTTTCATCCATGAATAATAATGTGCTTACTACTTTATCGGATGTGGTGCAACAGGGAAGAGCCTTTCCACATTTGACACAGCCGCTCCCTATGGGTACGCAGGCTGAGCTTCGCTGTGAGCTTATAAATGATGTGGTGTAGCACCATCAAAGCTGCTGCTTTAATTCTACCACCTGCGTATGTCTTCCACCACATCCAGTGCATAATTTTAAAGTGCAAATTTTCAAATGTAGGAAAACTTTACTCATTTTGGAGGAGAAAAAGTTTGGGGGCGGGGTTGATTTGTTCTTGAGAGTAATCATGATTGATCAGGCAAAGCAACATTCAGCTGAACCTTCCACCCAGCTTTGAGCTGAAGCATCTCCTGACAGATGAGTGCCACAATTTATGCTTCTCTTACTGTATTGTTCCATTGCAATAGACATACAGTTTTTATCAGAATGGTTTTAAAGTATATGCTAATTTATCACAGCATGGAGAGTGAAAGGTGAGGGAAGTCTTGTCTTGGAAGTATCCCTTACTGCTGCTATAATTGTGCTGAGACTGGATGTCCCATTCCTTCAATAATGATTTTTTTTTCTTTTTTGGTGGTATTTATAATGCAGCTCCCAAAAAAAGAGAGAGACTTTGTGCTGTTAATCTCTGAAAAGAGCTGACGCCAGTGGGCCACTGAAGACACACCACTCTACCAACAACTCTAATAGTGCTTGGACTGATTCCCATAGGTAGAGCCTGTACTGGTCCCTTACAAGAGCCGGGAACTGCTCTTATCCCTCAGGTCTTGTCAATGGAGCTGTGTTTCGTTCCAATCATCACCTTGTAGTCAGAACACTAAGTTTCTACTCTGCTCTTAGGATGTCCCAAAATGGCCGAAGCATAGAGTATTTGCTGTATCTAACACAACCTTCAAAGAAGTAGACTTACACTGTATTTAGATATTAAAAAATCAGCCAGCAGGATTATTTAGTATTGGACTGTGTGCTTATCGCTTGCTCACTCTGTCCTGCTGCATTTCGTTTGAGGTGCTAACTTAGCCATACGTACCATATTTGTAGATGTTGTGCTAGGAGAGCCCAGCTGCAGAGGTTCAAACACATTGCTTGTGACCGAGCACTATGACAAGAGCACTGCATACTCTAGTCTGAAAATGTCTCCAAACATATAGGTGAATTTGGCATTTCCATTTCTTGGTAGTATTCAGAAGTCAAGTTTTGCCCCACTCAAGCTCTGGCTCCTGTTAAACACACTTTAATTACAGTTGTCAAGAGCAGAAGCGTGTTGCCCCACCACAGCAGACGGGGTCAGGTGGGGCTGAGCGTGCCATTGTACTGCCCAAGCACATCCACGTTGCCGAAAGTGGTTGGCTGCAAGTGAACGGAATGGCTTCGATTTAAAAGAAGCCAATATGAAATGGCCATTGACTATATACCCTCTCTCCCATTGTGCTTGGTCAATCGTGCCTTTACTTACGATAAAGCTAGGAGAATGTTAAAAGAAATTACATACGAATATAAAGTTGTCTGTAAGCTAAACCCAGTGAGCTAGTCAACTACGAAACTGCTTTCTGGTGAAAAGAAAAGCTGCCTGGAAATAGTTTGTGCTAGGTAAAGAATGTCCACAGTTTTTGCCATTGCTCTCTTGACCTTATTTTAAGTAATTGATCTAAATCAAACTTGAGGCTTATCAGCAATTGCTGGTTTAAGTTAGAATGCTTAAGAATTCCTCTAACAATCATAGAATAACTAGCAATATATTGAAACAAAACTGTGATTGTCTTGTAAACTTCTACTTCACACTGTTCACCTAGAAATTGATTAGACAGCAAATTATCTTCTAGTACAATGATACGTGGAGCTTGAGATCAATACCACTGTTGTCTGTGCCAACGTGGCCTTTGTCTCTGAGCATGACTTCCAAGATTTCAACTCCTGCCAGACCTTCACAAACAAAATAATCAAGTGGCGTTCTGCTTCCATCCTTTCTATGCCTGGTCTGGAACCAGCAGGTACACTTGTCACCATTTTAATTTAAACAAAGATGGTACTATGAATTAGAAGGAAAGCTTTTAAAAAAAACAAACCCAAGATGAAGTAAAAATCTACTCAGGTGACTTGATCTATTCTCTAAAGAGAAGAAAAAAACCCCACTGCTCTTGGCATCTAACAGTGCAATCAGGTACGTCTTCATCATTGTTTAATGCTTTTCACTAAAAATAGTTACCTGTCATATAAGGGGGCTTTGCTAAAACTGGTTATCCTGCAACAGAGCACATTTAGTATGTCTTTGATACTTTTTTTCCAATGCTCACTTTCCATCTCATCTCACCTTCCCCACTAACTACATACACTTTCTCTCACTGCTTACATCGATGCTTTCATAAAAAAGGAGTATCCCCAAACCTAAAGTTTTCTGTCCTCAAACCCAGGTCTTTTGTTCACTGTTTCTGTATTAGCATCAGCCTACTTAGTTACAGGAAAATTGCAGAGCTGAGAAGGATTATGTCCAGCAGTGACCCAAACCCAAACTAGGAACCAGCTGTAGGCTAACAGGCCACCTATTCCCATCTAAAATAATTTCTTATTAAGAGAGAAAAAAAAAAAAAAAAAAGCTAGCAGATATTTTAGTCTCACTGAAACCACGCAAAGAATTCCCATTGCCTCTTTAAAATAAATAAATACATAACTTATACATGGCCATCTAAGCAATGCAGTTGAGTTCCAACACAAGAAGCCCGAGTCAAAACTTAAGGCCAGAATCAAGTGATCATTGGACCGATACCTTTTTTGTGCGTAGGTCCACAACTACTGGGCCTGTTTGGCGTAACAGTTAAGGGGATGAAAAGGCAAACTCGCATATTTAAAATATTAAGGGATTTCCGTAACAAAATTAAACACAACAAAGCCTGTAACGTGTCTCTAAACCACAACATTGTTCTTTTGGCCTCAGTGTTTCCAATGATAACGTTGGCCAGCTGCACCTAACAAGCTAAAATGGTTCTATTATAACCCAAGAGTGAACAATAAGCACCACTAATCAGGGATTAAAAATAACTATGTATTAGTTTAGGTAAAGACCTCTTGCTAGCCAAATGGCAGATAAACTCAGCTCCACTGGTCTCTACAGAAGGTGTTGTAAGCTTGACAAAATTGGTGTGCCTGAATTTTGGTAACTCATTCTTTGGGTGAGAGACTGTGGAGCTAAGCCGGTCTTTTAAAAATTACCCAAAGATCTTCAGAACAAACATTTATATAAAAGTTCTATATGCTGAGCTATCTGGAGTTACTTAAATAATTAAATACCCAACAAGAAAGTGTCATCAGTTTGCTCCTTCTTCATCTTCTTCTTCTTTAATAACTAGGATACCTAAGAGGAAAAAAAGAGAGGGAAAAAAAATCTGCAAAGATTTACAAATAGATTATGCAGAGAAAGATATAGTTAATGCTCATATACCTGAAAGCTAATCTTGACTGTTGGAAAGAATCAGACTGGCGGAAAGCGTTGTATTTCCTGCCACTGCTTCTAACTGACGTGAACTTCCACAGACCCGAACTGTTCTTAACTAGAAAAGCCTTCAACTGATGAGATTTTCTATTGGATGTTTTTCCCAACTTCTTGGATATCAGGGAATAAAAAATGTACTAAAGCAGGACCTGCAAAGATCAGCCTAACTTGGTCACTGGGAGATGCACCATGTTGGTTCAGCTAACAACCAACTAGCACATGGCTCTTCTCTTGTTGGGCCCCTACTTTGTGTTGCCATTACCATGACATAAATGACCAAGTCAGGATGGGACACCGTCTCAATAACACCTAACTAGGATGTCCAGACTACAAGATACAATTATACTAATGTGGATCCAAGAAGCAACGTGGTCATATCTCTTAGGGCTAACTTGGATGTCATGGAATAAAGCTGCATCGCACAGTAGCATCATAGTCTATACCTACCCCTTGGGTATGTTAAAAAAAAAATAAAAAATCACTTTTTAACTGCCATATTGAGCAAGGGCACCTCAGACTGTGGCAGGATGCAGAGTTCACACCACCTCACAGTGATGTGTTCATGAATTTAAAATCAGCTGAAATGCTAACAGGCCCCCCCAAAAAGATTTCTCAAGTTATACATTTTCCCCACAGTAGCAAAGCCCAGTAGTACAGGTAATCTCCCAGCATGCTGAAATAGCACAATCAATCAAACACATGCCTAAATAACTAGTACAAGAACAGCAGGGGCATGAAGGCATATGTTCATTCATCTACGGTGTCACCTGGGTAATGGGAACTGGGTCATACTGCTGCTTTGCTCAGCTTGAGGAGAAGACTTGAACTATGGTGAGACTTTGTGGTGAGAGCCCTTTGCTCACTGTAAGATTGGGGTATTGTGTTTCTTTTTTCACAGGTAGGAAACAGAAAATAAAACCACCGGAGCCTGGTTTCTGTTGTGCTTTAGACACCTAACTGCTGAGCATGGCTCCTGGCACAGGAACTAACAGAAAGGGGACACCTACCTACTGAAAGAGACCTTCAATGCTTATTTTTTGTCCAGAACGTCTTCAACCATTTCAATAATTTTGAGGTCCCTGTATTAGTCATCTCACATATAGTACATAGGCATAACAGGATCCTGGGACAGTGTAACAGCAAGAACTTTATGGACAGTTACATTTCTGACTTCTCTTTTGCTCAACATTCTAGTTTTTGTGGTTTCCATTCTTAAATATCATCCTCTCTTTCTACACTGCATAGGAAATGTACCTGCTT